AAAATCAAGTGCCATAAAATTAACAAACCAATGTGCTGGTCATTCAGAACAGGACCAATAATGAGTAAAACATTTTCCTTAACCTATTTGGTGCAATTAACATGAAGATGGCAAATATCAACAAAGACGTTGATAGATCTGATTAACTGCGATTGACAGTACGTACCTTACGGAGTAAGGGCAGAGAGAAGAGGCCGAGAGGCGCCTGCGCAGCCTCTTCGTGCTGCCGCTACGGTGGCCACACTTGGACATGGGCCAAAACCAACAAAAAAACAGTAACTGCGGTCTCGACAAGTAAACAAAATACAGGAGCACCACCTAGTGGTCACTCCCTTACATCAACTATCAGCTATATTATTTTGGGCACAGTAACAGTCAGAGTTACAGTAGTGAATTGTGTGAAATAGATAATTGTACACATTATACAAGCCTATATGTCTACACAAACACTACATCCATGACAGTGAAGACACAGATAACATTTTGAGCTTGACCGTTTGTATTTGCAGAGTTGTTACAAGACAAGCGTCTAAAGCAGGGGTCTCAGACTCACGACCTGGAGGCCAACTGTGGCCCTCGGAAGGATTTTTTGCGGCCCTCCACTTAATTCCAAAGAATAATGTCAGTGCGTCCTTCGCGCATAGATGTACGCACAATCCCACCCCCCTACCGCGGACCACACTGACAGATGAAGCTGCAATCGGTGCCCATGCAGATTCACAACAACAGATTATTAACACAGTTTACATCCCAAAACTCAATTTACAGCAGTTGTGAAGCAACGAGTCTAAGTGGATCTGTTAATACGAGTACACGTGCACATATGGCGTCACCGAAGAACCAAAACAAACCACAAATGTTGGTACACGTGTGCGCACTTCACTTTACGCTCCCACAACCACAGTATCAGAGCGCAGAGGAGGCGCTGACAGAATTCTCCTGTTCATAAGTATGGGACCTTTATTGGAGGGGGTAATAAGAAATAAAAAGACACTGACAGTCTGTTTACCTGCTCAACACTCGGTGCGTAACTTGCTGGCAACCAGATGACCAAGCTCCACCTGTGTGTCGCCGAAATCCACGCGCACTCAGCGGCAAACACAGCTGTTCCATCAATATGAAAAGACGACAAAACTTCAGTGATCTATTCCAGAGGCTTGGCGACATGTTAGCAAAAAGTACGAGGCAAAAACAAGCATCTTCCATCCATGTTTGACATACGAGAAGCAAATACACTCCAGTGTTGTCCGCTTTCACACCGGCAAACGAACCAAAACTGGTCCTATTATAGAGCCTCTGTATCCCGGTAGAAGAGCAATACCTCCAGTAATCAATACTGATGTTCCCTGTTAATACCACGGGCCGTCCTCATCTTATCACCATGAACTCATAAAACAGCAACGTAGAACTTTGTACAAACTCACCGCATCGGCCCAGAGTTCGAGTAACAGCAGCAGCCAACAGCGCTCACAGTAGCGCACAGCTCCTCAGGACGGGGCTGGGGTCTGGTCCTTGGTCAATGACTGGGTCTGAGCGGGTACGTTCCGCCGTCTGCGCGCTGGTTCCGTGCGGGGAAAGCGAGAATGCACTGTGGACTACAGGTCTGTGCGAGCTGCTCCGGTCCTCCGCACTCAAGAACCGCGGCTGGTTCCGAGGTGGTGCAAAGCATCCGGACAGAAGCATGAATCCAGTTTAGCTGGTGTCCGTCCTTCGCGCATTTGGTTCTTCCCGGGGAAAGCGCTTTTCACTCCCCGCTCCACGTCATCTGAGCCAGGCCTGAACCGGAGCTGCTCCTGTTGGTTCGGGACTCTGGTTTGGATCTAGTCCAACTGTATTTCTCACTCTAGACTAAAAGCAGGACATTTTTTAAAGGTGAATCAACAGAATGGGTGATTGCCTATTGCCATGAAATTATTTTATTAATTAAAGCCTAAAATAACAAATGCTGTTCCTACATGATTACGGAGAACACCGGGACCTCTGTGCAGGTCCTGAACAGACGTACACACCCCCAGATTAGACTCACTCTGGAGCCACATGTTCGCACGTACTTGCCTTGATCTTCGTGTGTTACATTCTCTGTATTGGCCATTGTTGGTAAAATAATCCGAAAATGACTCGCGGCTGCGTCTGGACAACAATCTGTTACTGCGCTGGATTCGTACAGCGCATCATTTCAGGCAAAGGAGATGCGTTTCTCCCATGATGCATTTCGAATAGTTCGTTTGGACCTGCTGTCTATGGTTTGGACCCGGGTTCGCGTTCACACCAATGTGAAAGTGTGTGAAAGCACCATCAAACTACAGGTCAAGGCTCACTGATGAGCATCTTCAATCTATCCTGAGGATCTCATGTGCTTCCTCCTGCAAGCCAAATATCTCTCAGCTGTGGAAGATGAAGTGTTGCCAGGTTTCAACCAGCAAGAAGTAGGCAAAAGAAGAAGAGTAGATGTATTAGTTTAAACATACGTTCTAAATACATTTTCATGTTCTGAACTGTTATTAAACATTAAGAAAGTGTGTTGAGTGTTGTTCTTTCTCTCTCTTCATTTCCCGTGCAACCGCTATTTATTGAATACTCAATGCAGCCCAGCCTCTCTCAGACTTTATTTAATGTGGCCCCCAGGTAATTTGAGTTTGAGACCCCTGTTGTAGAGGATATCAGTATGGAGATTCTCTGCTGTTTCTCCCAAACTTCTCCTTTGGACTAAGAGCACAGATGCTATTGAGAACTGTGTACACTTTGGAGAACTTCAAGAGCCCACACTGTTTTAATAAACCCTGAATACTGGACTCATTCTGGCCTTCACAGGGACTGGACCCCAATAAAAGATGGTTAACTTGGCTTTAGAAATATGCAACAATGTGGACATGTATGGATTCTGGCTTCTTTAGTAATCACCCTTAGAGTTTTCAGAAATCACTATTATGATGACCAAAAGGCAACTCGGAAGTACCAAGCCATACCAGCAGAGTTTGGCCTCCAGACAAGGTGTGCTCTGGCTTTACCTGGGACAGTATGCTCCCTCAACAACCCTATATTTTTTTATTTGTCCTACATCATAGCAGAGTACAGTTAGTACAATTTGAGTCATAGATTGACTCAAATTAAAGATTGTTCAAAAAGGAGTGGGAAGACGTAAGACTTATTTAAACCCACTCCTTCTTGGCTGTACCTGAAAACAAGTTTTGTAAAAGCACCTCTCAGGGTCAAAATAAGAGGGCTGTGTGCTGTCTGTTAATATGAACCAGGAAGTGTGCTGTTAGCATATTTAACTTCAATGTGATGCTCTGGTGAACTCTTCACAGTGAATAACTGGGATGATAGGAATGTGTTAGGAAAGTGGGAAATGACTTTGGATCATGTTAATTCATGTCAATTCAGGCCATGTAAACTATCAGCATTATTTTGGGCACAGTAACAGTCAGAGTTACAGTAATGAATTGTGTGAAATAAATAATTGTACACATTATACAAGCCTATATGTCTACACAAACACTACATCCATGACAGTGAAGACACAGATAACATTTTGAGCTTGACCGTTTTTATTTGCGCAGTTGTTAGAAGAAAGCATCTAAAGAATGTCTAAAGCAGCGACCAGATCAGATCAAGGTGATAATGTGCAGCGTTTGTTACGTCAAACGCCAGGTCTTTATGGGAAGATGTGTGGTATACAGTTGGATTATTTTGCGAAGGAAATAATACGCCAAGATAAATAAGGTTTAAAACAACAATACAATGAATGAAAGCCGCCAGGGCATGCTCACATACTCACAGATGTGGCTCCTTATAACTTAGAACTAGACTAGTACTACAAAAGCAAGAAGTAACGTAATGTAGGTTGAAAATGCGATTTAACGTGTGGTAAGATGCGTGTTTGAGCATGTGGTTTAGCTTTTGACGAATTATTGAAATTATACATTTGCGGGGCACCAGATTCTGACCGAATCAAACTTAACTATATGCGACAACAACAACTTATCAATTTAATCAATCTGAAGGGAACGTACCCGAAAAAGTGACCTGATGATAACTTTAAGAAAAATCACTGAAACCAGCAAATTCCTTTGTGTGGTTTATTAACAAACAATAACTAGACACCAACTTCCAAGTTCTTAAAGCACCGATTTTAACAACCTGAGGTAGTTATAAAAACGGGGTTCAGTTTAGCTCAGTTATGGCGTTTCGCTAAGTCGCTACTGCGCTTGCCTTGGGAATAATTGGACGCAATCTTAAGAGGGATGCCAACCCTTATTCATTCACTGTTCAGAACCAGCGTTACTTGGCGATGTTGTTCTCGGTCCGTGTGGAATGCGGCGATGGCGGGGTTCAGCGGTGGTCGTGCGCACGGGCAGGCAGCGGCGTGATGATGGTACTCGGGTAGGGCGGTCCACGCCTCCTTCACCGGCTCTGGTCCTCAGCTCTCGGCAGGTGCGACTCCAGGTCTGTTACAGCTCCCCCTGGGTCTCTCCGACCGGCCGTCTTCCCTGGTCCTCTTCGCCTTGCCTCGCGGCGGCGAGGCAAGGCGAAGAGCGAAGAAAGGCGTAGCGAAACGAAAGCGCGATGCGTAGTGGAAAAAGCCCGCTTTTCGCGCGTGAGGCTTCGTTTTGGTCAGTGCGCTTGGTGGGCGTTGTTATATGCAAATTTAAGGCACGCCCGCGTCTGAGCTGAACTAGTCCCCGTACAAATATCATTTGCAAATATTAAATTGATAACTTCCCACATTCCGGTACTAACTGTTTACGATGACATTAGCCGACGATTCATACAAAGAAATCAAAGGTATATCTGTCCGAAAACACGCCGTGAAGTTACCGTAAATACTTCCGCGGGAACATGACTTGAAATACACACAAGAGACTATGAACACATGAATTAAGCAATGTGGCATACTTGTCTTGTATCAACATGAGCCTTATATAGAACACAGTTAAAAACATGTTTAACTAGTTATCGAGATGCGGTTAATCCGGTCCTTCTCTAGTGTCCAAAAGTGGCAACCACAGTCCATCGCGGTTTTAACCGGTCCAAACCTTGGCGCCTGATGGTCTGGTATGTAGATGATGTGGGTCTGTTTCTTCAAAGCACAATGAAGAAAGTCATTATCACTTTAGCAGAGCCATGTCAATTTCCCATTCTGATTCATGTCCCACTTGGCGTGGGGGAAGGGAGGTGTGGAAGCACCGAAGGTCGGTTCTCTTGGGGTTGTAAATACCAAGAGGCAGTCAGGCGGAACCGACTTCTCTAGGTTCCTGGTTTGTGGATTCTATCAGAATGGGGGAAGCAGGCCCTGAACAGGCATCTTTCCCTACAGTAATCTAATAATAACTCACTATTGCACAACATGTTACTCTTTCAAACCTGTTTGGCAAAGCAGATTCTGCTTTGCCAAACAGGCTGCTGCTAATCAGCAGGTGGTTGGCCAAGAGGAATGCACTGTGTTTAAACCAGTGAGAGCACCCTCTATTATCTAACAGTTCTACCTGTCGGCTTTATGGGTGTAACAGAGGGAATGGAACCACATAATGAGCAGATTAGTTTCAGGTGAGAGAAGAAACACTGGAGACAAGAGAGAGAGAGAGAGAGAGAGAGTTACCTCACATGCCCCACAGCCATGAGAAGACACTGCTGTACATTTGTTTTATTTCTCAGCATAACTTTGGGGACTTTATCCATTATATTGGTTATCCTTAATTTAGATCTGAGGTAAGTCACTCATTTGATATTTTAAATTAAATAAACTTATTTTCTCTTTCCCATTCTGCTCTTTATAAATTCTACTATGTCATTTTGACATTTCTTTCAAATCATTACTGTAGCATTTACAATACATTCATGATCTTTGTCTTTCTAGGTTTTGTCCTTTTTTTTAAATACTAATTTACACTGAACCAACACAAGAATCAGCACAGAACGAGAATAGAGAATGGACAATTTGAATTTGAGTAAAGGGCAATTTATCTTGTGATATTGATTTTGTGATGTGTGAGTTACTGTGTCCAGAAAACTCCCCTTGTGGATTAATTAAGTTTGTCTAAATCTAAGAGTAAAAAGCTTTCATATATGGTTATAAACCTAAATTCAGCTTCATCATATACCCATATAGCAGATGGTTAATGGTCAATGACAGATAAGGTTATTAAATCTGATCCTTGTTTATGACTTGGCACCATTTCTAGTCTGTTAAACATGACTCTTCTGAGAATATTCAGTTCAGTTCAATTCAATCTTTATTAAGAACACGTAACATCTGGTTCATAGTATTAAAAAGAAAATAGTAAGAATAAAAAAAAATTAAATACAGTGCACGTTATGATGTTGACAGACAAGACCGCCAGTGTCTCCACAGAGAAGAATCTGACAGAGCTCTTCACAGGACACACTAGAGCAGGGGTACTCACACTTTTTCAGCATGCGAGCTACTTTCAAAATGACCAAGTCATAAAGATCTACCTAATACAAAGCCAAGCAAACTGCACTGAAACACTCTGTGCCCCTTTTTTGGACCCTCATCCACAGTTTGAGAACCCCTTCTTTAACTTCCTCTGGCACTTTACATAAAACTGTGAAAAAAGTGAAGGAAGATTTTTAAACCTGTTTTTTAAAGTTCCAAACTGGAGTTTCATTCTTTTCTGGTTTTGCAGTGATATTTACCAGCCTCTGCACATTTACCAAACCAAACACACATCGTGACAAACACAGATGCATTTGTGCACTTTTGTTAGGCAAACTTCAACCAAATGTGGCAGTAGGTCTGTTCTGTAGATCTGCTCTATGCTGTAGACCTGCTTTGTGCCAACACTGGAACACAAATTTAGACTCGTTTTTGCTCCACGTTTCGTCTTGCTCTTCTAATCAGCCGCACTGTGGGAGGGGCTTGTGTTCGCTGTACGCAGGAAGGTGAGAGCGTGAAAAGGCGAGGGGCGGCGTGCTGACGTGAGGCAGATGGACAGGTAGGATGTTTAGGAAGTTTAACCTGCCCTGTGATGCAGGCTGGTACACGAGGGCACACGCTGTTGCAGACGAGCCGTGCGTAGGGAGCGTGTGTGTTTGTGATGTGCCGTAGAGTCTCCGCGGGCTGCACTGAGACGCCCCACACGCTCTGGCAAACCTGTACAAGTTTATTACCAATAGCAGCGGCCGTAATGAAATATGATCGCACTTGTTGAGTGAGAGACAAGACCGAGTCTAAACGCGAGTCCGAGACGAGACACGGCGATCTACCCACACGACCTTGGCGATCGACTGGTAGATCGGGATCGACGTATTGAGCACCTCTGCACTAGAGCTTCAGTGATTCGATTGCTCAGATTCATGGTTCTACACATAAATGAATAAATATAACATCTGATCGTGACAACACAAGATCTCACACCACAATTTACAAACATTTCAGTGGCTCTACAGAACCTCTGCACTTTCAGTAATATTCTCAAAGAGTCGTTATAGGCCACTGTCAGACTCTGCAAACTCTAAATATAGTATCAACACACAGATTTTTGTTGCAAATGTTTATGCAAGAAATAAAGTCAGGGAAGAGGACCCATGGGAACAGAGCAGGTTAGACAGACCCAGAGGGAGTTCAGGGAAGAGAGCGAGCATGCACGCAACGCTTGTTTTTAAGGTGAGGAGGGATCATATTTCATTATTTCTTTTTGTCTGTCGCCTCCTAATAAAAAGGAAGTGTTAAGCTCCTGGGCATGTAAAAAGAGAAATATATTATCAACATATTTTCAGTCTAATCAGCCATGGAAAGAATCCATATCAGTTTATGCTCCACATCCCCAAATGAAAAAATAAAAATATAAAATGGGGCTAAAATTCAACAAATGTAAATAGGCCTATGTAATTTGCCTGGATTCATTTTTAGTGATATCGGATTCAGTTTGAAATGGGAAGTGTTTTTTTCGACTGTCCATGGAGTAAAATTTTGTGACATATCTAGTTTACGTTTTCAGAGCAATTTCTGTATTTTTATCACAAAAATTAAACATTTGTTAATCTTGATTTGAGTACAGTCTAGACAGTACAGACTGAGGAAGATAAACAGGAAAACTTAAAACAGTCGTCTGCTGTTAGTTTCATTGTTATTTTGTTGTCTCTTAACGTGACATTTGTGATCTTTGTCTTTCAAGGTTTTGTCCTTTTTTATACTGATTTATGCTGAACCAGCACAAGAATGATCACAGAAGGAGAATAGAGAACGCAAAACAAATATTGGCATCTTAATAAAAGTAAATTATTATAAATGAAAGTGCCTATGACAGGTTTTATTTAGATTTAGACAACTTGATCCACAACAGAAAATATTTGGACACAGTAGTTCACAATGTATTATAGTAACAAAGATAAATTGTATAATAGATTCTAAATAAGTAGCAGAAATGACAAGAGACTAATGCCAAATAAAACAAAAGATCATTGTATTTAAGATTTTACTTTTGGACAGATTTCTCCTAGTGTGATGTCATCATTGTGGGAGTCTCTAAAATAGAATTTTACTTCCTGAAATTTTCAACATATTTTTCAACTTTTCATTTGGATAATTTCAATCCTGCCACTCTGTTTCATGGATCTATTAAAATACAGTCTATGGTTTGTAGGTGTCTTGCGTTGTTTTGAGAAAAGATCACTACAGCTCATGTTCAATGAGCAGGGAACCACTGGAAGTACCTACATTTTTTATTATTAATTTACATAATGAAATGTACATAGTAGCTCTCGATGGGAGATAACACTGTATTGCATGTACCTCACATTTTTCAAAACATAAATATTTGGAGACATCATCACATTGTATGTCCTTGTTCGAGTCCTTTAGGAGCGACACAGAAACAAAATATGACCATAGTTCAGAGTTAAACAACAGAAGAGATGGATTTATGCTTAATAATTTACTTTTATGTATGTGGTATTTACCCATAATTATAATTATATTGCAAAGTCTCAATAGTTTGTTTGGAAATGTGTTTATACCATAATGTATTAGCTCCAAATTTAATTGAACATTTATGACCATCTTAATTTTCAACCAAATAATTAGATTCTTCCATAAAATGTTTTGTCATGCCACAGGAGAAAAAGAGATGGTCGATTGTTCCCTTCTCTTGAGAGCAAAAGAACACATGGCTCCACCTCAAAACCAAACCCTTTTTTTTGTTGGATAGTGACAATTTATGATTTTAGACTGCATTTCTTTTATTTTGGTATTTTGTGGGGTATTGGCCATTTCATTATTGGTTATATTGCTATCATCATGATAAATGTTTACATTTCTGTCAAAATTATGAAAAAATTGACCTTTGGATATTATATTAATAGCTGTGTTATTGCATTTTTTTATCATCTAAGGGAATTTGAATCCATTTTAATTTAGGCAACATTATTTGTCCTTTTGAATAATGCAAATAGTTTTGTATCAAGTTTAAGAAGGTAATGGGTATTGCTTTGCAAACCTTTTAATACACCCTAATAGAACTTTGTATATTAAATATAGTTTCAAACTCTTTCAAACTAAGGAACTGACCTTGCATTTCGAGTATATCTGTGTCAAAGATCTTTTTTTTTTTTTACCATTTTTGAATGAATAATGTTTTCCTAGTTGGTGTAATTGCTCATTTGTTCCTTAAGGTGGAGCCATACGAGGTAAAGTTGTGGGTAAATACAGTCTTCCAATAATGGAGGATCACATTTTAAAAGAAATTCCAAACAGCCAACTTGCTTAAAGATATTCTTGGGGATATTATACCAAATAGTTTCAGGCTGAGTTTTTATCCAGTTTAGTCTGAAAACACCCACCATGGATTCAAAGTCAATAGTTTTTAACCCTCCTTTGTTGTAGTCTTTGATGAGTTGTGATTTATTTATTTATTTTTTTAATAAAGTGGGTTTTATGAATTGGTATATTATTGTATTTTATTAAATTTTTTGATATTTTATGGAGTAATATAAAATGAAGAGCTTGGGTATGCCAGTTTTGAGATACCTTTGGATTTTGATAACACATTTTGGCCTAGAATAGTTAGATCCCTTGTTAAGCAACTTTTTGAAATGTCTTCAGTTTTTTCCTTGATATTTTTGGCTTCTCTTGTTTTGTCATCTCTGGTTACTTGTTCCCAAGTATTTAATTTCAGTTTTCACAGGTATAGACTCGTGTCAGTACATAAAGGTAGTAATTCACATTCACAGACCTGATGCCTGAGAGAACACAGAGATGTTTGGAGCTTTTTGAGAATTGACTTGTCTTCCAAAAAAAAAATGACTGTATTGTCAGAAAATTGACTTTCTTACACCTTCCTGAACCTCCTTACAAAAAAGAAATATGGCCTTGTGTTCAACTATATCTTTTAAACCTCTAACATTTAAAGCACTCAGATGAATAAACATAAGTAAATGAAAGAACTGTATGCTCTTGTATTCACTAGAATATAATGATGAGCAGGAAGGAGCATCTGCTCCTAGAACATTTTTTTTTTACTTAACTTTTATTAGTTTTAAAATTTGTGTATGAAATCATTGAATACAAATCATTATCTCAAAGAAAGATTTTTTTTTTTTTTTTAATCAAATCAAATCAAATCAAACTTTATTTATAAAGCACTTTTCATACAAAATGCAACACAAAGTGCTTTACAGTGATTAAAAACTTTGTCACACTCACATAACATGTTCAACTATAATGTCTGAATTTTAAAGCCGTCTAACATTAACATGAAAGCACCATTAACAGCACTCAGAAATGAATCCTAAAAATAATGTGTACAATAAACAAGTAAATGATTTCAATCAAAAGCTAAGCTAAAAACTGCCTACTCTTAAAAACATGAACGTTCTCTGCAGCCCTATTCACATAGACGAATACTAATGATGAGCAGGAATGCGGAAGGCAGCGATGAGCAGCATCTAGCTTAGAACTTTTTTTAGAACTAGTTAATTTTACTCTTTTTTTTTTTTACTTTTATTTACTTAATGTTTTAATTTTTTACTTATAGTTTTTATTACAAAATTTGTGTATGAAATCATTCAAAGAAATCATTATCTCAAAGAAATATATATATATATATTTATTTTTTTTTTTTACCCCCCCTGAGGATCATTTCAAGCCCAAAGAACAATCTCTAACTTGTTAACATCTACCAACACTTTATTTGTGCTCAGCTTTTTCTTATGGTTCAACTCTTTTACCATCAATTAGTGCTGGTCCCTACTTTAAGAAGGCTGGACAAAGCCCGGGCTTCACAATTTTCTTCTGAAAAGTCCTCTTTGAATTTGATGTTCTTTACACACTCTGGCCTCCTTTGACCACCGTTTCTTGTGCACTTTTGTTTTCTTTCTTAAGCAGCCTGATCAGCCTGAGATCCCAGCATCTGTACACTCTCCATGCATTTCTCCCTCAGATATTCTTTTTTTTTTTTTTCAGGGACTGTACCTGCACTTTAAGTTGGTCCACTACATTTTTATTTTCTTTTGTTGCTTTTTCCTTAGCTTACATTAGCACGAAGTTCTCAAACTTTCGTTCGAGAGTGTACAGTCTGTCATCCATCCATTAATCAAGCTTTAATCGCATCAAGGACATTTTCAGTGCTCACGTTTCAGCTTTCTTTTTCAGTTGGGATTGGGGCTTTGCAACGGAGTGTGGTCATTTTTACTTTTGGGTATATTCGTCTCCATGTCCTCAAAATCTTCCAGGTCATCATCCATCATGTAATCACAATCAGGTAGTCATGGTCGTGGATGCTAGCTGTTAGCCATTTTTTCCAAGACAAGTTTTAAAACTTTTCTTCCACCAAGTTTTATCCTCAGTTCAGTATTCGGGTTGTCCCAGTCTTAACATTTCTCCTGGGATAACTGTCTTTTCAGAGTGAAGTGTTGTGGATGTCAAAATCACCATTGAGCTTGGCCCATTGACTTGAATGGGTGGCCGTGTTTAGACACCGGGACTTACTCTATTCCAAACTAAAAGGTAAAAGGAGCTGTTAACTTAAACTACTGCTTCATGACATCACAAGGTGGAACGAAGCATTTTGAGCTTTGGAAATGAAGACAGACTAATAATACAGGATTACTCAAACATGTGTCAATAAAACAAAACTGATGAAGTAATAACATCATAACACTGCTCCAAGCTCACATGTCATTTTTGCAAAAATAACCTTTAAACAAATCTCAGCAAAGATCATTTGTCTTTGTGATTAGGTGTTTGTCATTTATCATTTAAATAAATGCGAGCCTGTCTTTTTAATGTCTCCTTAAAATTAAAATTAACTTAGCCTAAAGATTTGGATCCTATAAAAGAAATGAAAATCCCTGTTTGGTTTTGTTGAGGATTTAATGAGTTTTTGTGCATTGTTTGAAATCAGAAGCCATTAATGGAATGACCTTTTTCTTTTAGTGAAGTGGATTTAAGCTCCACTGATACAAAGACAATAAGGACCAAAGACAACGCCATTGATCACAGGTAAGAGAAATCTAAATGTGTTTTTTTTCGACAACACACACATTTTAAAAGCAAAATCTCAATATGGAACAATAACAAGGAATTATTAAGACCCACACATCCACTAAATTCTGAAATATGCCTTAAAATAATTTGAAAATGAGAAAAAAAAGTATACAGCTCACAAAAACAAAACAAAAAAGAAAAGCATCAGATCTCAAGGTGAAATGCTGGATATCTAAATATGTACGTGGTAATATCTTAGGAACAAAAGGATGCCACCTCCTTTAATGGATATAAAATATTCAGCCTACTGAGGACTTAATTTTACAGACACTCTGAAAATCAAAGTGAAATAATGATGTGGCAATCTTGTCCATTGTGCTAAAATTAAATTTCTGTGAATCAAAATGCTTCTCAATATCTTGTGAGCTCAACTTGTTCCTGCTTGCACGAAGGAGCAGATATGGGTTGAGAACGTTCTAGGGCCCTATCCAGCCCCACTAGAGTAAATGCCTCCTGAAATCTCCATGTTCTGGAGATTGTGCAGGGAAACAAATCCACATGTGACCCTGACTTCTGTAGGGTTAATGAGTGGCTTCATACTCCCTTTAGTGATAATCACACTTTTTGTTTTTCACATTAACATCTGTTTTCAGAGTGTTCCTTTAATTTTTTTTTGAGCAGTGTATACATAAAAGATGTTAGTTCACCAATAAATCAGACCAATATTTGCACTTTTTAATGTATTGGCTATCAGCCAAATCTCCAGCATGAGCAATGTATGATTCGGGATGCCCAAAAGAGACATAAAGCTTTATTTTAAAAGTTTAATGCAGTAATAGTACAAAATATGATTACACCACTCCTGTTTACGCCTCATTTACACCTCATTTATGGCTCATTTATGGTTCATTTATGGTTCATTTATGGTTCATTTAGACTAATTTCTGCCTTATGGCCATTTCTCACATTCCAGTCACATTGAGTAAGTGTGGCAAGGATGCCTTATTATGCGATTTCTGTATTTTTATCACAAATATGAAACAGTTGAAAATAAATAAATAAATAAAAATCTGCTGATGAGTTGGGCTCTAACAACGTGGATCTCTCCAAAGTGGTGTTGTGGAAAAATTAGATATCTCTCTTGAATAATATATAATTAATCCATTTGCAAAGCCCGGGTGAGTTTTTGGGAGTACAGATTGGATCTTCTGTATCCTCTCAGTGACCTTTCCCAAGTCTCCTACACAGAGCATCTGAGTTCTAAGTATTTATACAGAAATACAAATGACATGAAAAGAAGTGAATGGCTGAACTTCTTTTCAAAAAGAAAACTGCATTCCTGTGATTTTTTTCTTGTGGACAACTGTTGACAACAGGCTCAAATGTTGAGCACATATTTTCGGACACTGCACACTTTATAACATACAGTTTGATCAGGTCCCAAGGACACACAAACATACAGTTGACTTCTGTGTCACATTCTGTAAACACAATTTTCTGCATGTAACTTCCTCTTATTTCAAAATCTGATGTTTTTATTTATTTTTTACATGTTGTCACGGTGCAAAACAGACATAAATTTACATTTTTCTTTATACATTACTTACATTTACAGTTCATAATATCTCAATTCTTAAACTTGAAAGAGATGTACTCCTTACTCTTATACTCACCTACACAGGGAAATTCACCCTTTTGCCTTTTCTAGTCAGTAGCCCTAGATAAGAGTTTCACCGTGCGACTGTTCCCTAAAGAGCAGCGACTTTCACCTGTTTGAATGTTCACTAGCTTGTTACTGCCAGAGGGAATTTCACTCAGTGAATGTTTGGTAGTTAGGTGTAATAACTCTGTGCTTACTTCTATTCTGGAAAATACATTCAAGTAGTTTAAATGCTATGCAATGCTAGGCAATAACTTTTCAATAGAAGTCAACTGAAACCAGACCTCAATGAAAGCACTTTGCTTTCCTCTTTGGACCTTGGTGGCTAGTTTGTTTCAAACGTAGACATCCCAAATTTAAATGGGGTCGTTCTGATAACACATTATGGTATGATATATTGCACAGAAAATATGATCATATTGAAATGACTTTATACTACTGAAACAAAAACCCTAAAACTATAATAACAGACAACCATATCTAAGTGAACCAAAAAAAAAAACCTAACATAACATAGTAAGTTTAAACCTGTCATGTATTCAACCAATACAGCTCCAATGTTGCTCATATATTCTTATTTCTATAAAACAGAAGATAAACAGAAGATACAGCCAATGTTTTTATGAATGGGTCTGAAAAAATATATTTTTCTATCATATATTACATAGTAGTAACTGTAATTAGAGTAATTTTCAGATTTATATACAAGAGCTTATTTTACAATGATCGTGGCTATTTGTACGACTGTATTTCTATAAAACATGAATCATAATTGCTAACTCACACATAATAAAGCTTTATTTGTTCTAGATTATATTACTTGAGGACCTGTAAGAACTGGTTAATTCTAATCGTATGCAGTGGTCTTAACTTTTTCATTTTCTTTCTTCAGTGACGTTCAAAAAACTTCTGCATCAACCACAACCAACCCTATCAGGTAAGAACAAAGTCCTTCACTTAGTTAATTCATTTCTTATGTGGATATAATCAGTGCAGAGGGATTGCAGAAAACAAAAAGTGAACAATATTATCATATACACACATACATTTACTGTTTTGTAATAATTAATTTATTATTTACAGAAAAACATATCATCAAAATGTACCTCAACTTGACAAAAACGCCCCAGATCCGTGTAATGGCTGCCGGTGAGGGAAAAGACTGGATTACATGGGTTGCATGTTTCTTTTTTTCTTTAAAAAAAAAAATATATATATATATATATTATTAATTATTATTTTATCCACTTTTAGTGAACACATCAAAAAAGTTCTGGGAAACTATTCTCTGAACTGGAGAAAAAATGTCACAAAACACCAAGAGCTCAGGTAACTACTTAATATCCAGGTTCCTAAAGTAACAGCCCAAAAAAGTCCACATAAAAAACAACATCTTAGCCTTGGATTAATCATAATAAGATGATGATCCAGTGGTAACTGGGTTTGTTTGTTCTTACTGTCTTCATTAAAGCAGCTGTATGTAATTGTGCAGTTTTATAAACGGCACTACAGTCATTGAAGCTGAAGTGCCAGTGCCTAAACCTACAGATAGAGAACACACGTTTTTCTCCTTCTCAGTATATGGACTGCATATACTGCAGCAGCATGACCAGCATGGTGCAGGTGCTGGGGTTTAGGTAGTGAGGACTCACATCAGAGAGTCCTTTTAGGTTTAAACCAACTGGCTTTCAACACTGAAACTGGCAACCCAAATGAGTCAAGACTCATGTGAGACTCGTACACTGGACTCAAACTACTGCACTAATGGACACAGAAAATATTATCTGACAAGTAAAAATATATGAAAACAGTTTTATTTTGTTAAATCATTTTAAATGATCAGACAATTTTAAATTGTGTTGAACTTTTGGCTTCTCCCTAGTGTGATGTCGTCATTATCATGTGTTTTAGAACTCTCTAATTTGTGTAATTTCAATATATTTTTCATCTTTTAATCACAAATTGCTTATCGTTTGGTGTAAAACTATAATTTATATTTACAAAAGGTATTATCCCACCAACTTAAGTAAATTTAGATCAAATCCTGTTTTACACCGCCTGAGTAAATAATGATTCAGACATTAGTAAGCAAAGTTTATGGAGTAAGAAAGCTGTCAAAAATATTTGTGTGCATAAAATAGAAATCCGTGCGTATTTGGGAAATCCGTGCATATTTGGCTGTAGTTGCGCATAAAATAAATATTTGTAAACTCTCAAATGAGTCCAGTCGTACATAAAATATATTGTGTGTATTTTATCCATCAGAATACGAATTGAAAAATGACGACGTCATGAATTACAATCACGAAATGAAAATTTACGATTACGCTTTCATCAGTACGGATACGAATTCACAGACGGAACTTTACTGTCAAAAATACATCATCACTTCACAGACATTATTCATCGAGCAGAAGAAACATCGATCAAGATCAAGACTGCGCAGCTCAAGTTTGTAGCAGAGGGTAAAAACAGAGTAATAGCACAAGAAGCTACAACAGCGACCAACAAGTGGGTTAATTAAAATCTATTGTAAAAATGTCTTGAATTCGGGAACCGAACGCTGCTGTATAATATTGTGTAGAAACACCTCCTTTGAACGGGAAATTGCACCTATATGTTAGATAACATAGTGGAGCCAGTTGGCTAACATCCGACGTAACGTTATCCCAGGGCTAATTAGCAAATGTCAGGTTCTCTGTAGGTTTAGATTAAAACATTCACGACTACAGCCACAGCGAGCATCAGTCAGTCTTCACTTCAGCTGCATTTCTCGCATGAAATGCCACCAAAAGTTCCTCGGTCCTGTCCTGGTTACAGACGTCACAGCTAATGAAATGTTACACATTACAGTTTAATGCAGCTTCCAGCATCAATTAATGTTCGTGTTTACAGGCAACACCTTGGTATGTTTACAGTATTTACCGGTAAGTATAACGTCACCGTGACGTGGATGGATTTGCTCATTATAACCCATTATAACTCATGAAAAACCCATTGTCTGAAATGCAGCTGAAGTGAAGACTGACTGATGCTCGCTGTGGCTGTAGCCGTGAATGTTTTAATCTAAACATACAGAGAACCTGACATTTGCTAATTAGCCCTGGGATAACGTTACGTCGGATGATAGCCAACTGGCTCCACTATGTTATCTAACATATTGGTGCAATTTCCCGTTCAAAGGAGGTGTTTCTACACAATATTATACAGCAGCGTTCGGTTCCCGAATTCAAGACATTTTTACAATAGATTTTAATTAACCCACTTGTTGGTCGCTGTTGTAGCTCCTTGTGCTATTACTCTGTTTTTACTCTGCTACAAACTTGAACATGCGCAGTCTTGATCTTGATCGATGTTTCTTCTGCTCGATGGATAATGTCTGTGAAGTGATGATGTATTTTTGACAGTAAAGTTCCGTCTGTGAATTCGTATTCGTACTGATGAAAGCGTAATCGTAAATTTTCATTTCGTGATTGTAATTCATGACGTCGTAATTTTTCAATTCGTATTCTGATGGATAAAATACACACAATATATTTTATGTACGACTGGACTCATTTGAGAGTTTACAAATATTTATTTTATGCGCAACTACAGCCAAATATGCACGGATTTCCCAAATACGCACGGATTTCTATTTTATGCGCACGAATATTTTTGACAGCTTTCTTACTCCATAAAAGTTCCATTGTACCTGCCTATGCCTTTTCCTTATCTCTCCACAGAGCATCACTCATCACAAACTGCAATGGTTTTCAAAAGGCCTTTGTGACCCAGGCCAACAGTCCTTTAGCAACATCTATCAAGTACGACGCAGAAAACAGAGTCCGCACTATAGATGAAAATCTTTTCAACAATATTCCAAAGGTGAATGGTTACCAACAAGGCTGAAATGTATAGGGAACCTCAAGTTTTCCATACAATACACAGCAATAGTATTACAGTTTGGCAATAACTGATATACAATTAAACAGTTCAAATGTATTTAGTTCATCCTTTAGCACATCCTTTATCAGGACATTAATAACAGTACCTACCCCCACTGCAGTACATAAAGTGTCCCACAAAAGCAGCAACCCATTAATGCTGCTAAAAGTTGGTTTGGGATCTGGGGGGGCGTCCTTGGTCCTGCACCAGTCTCTGTCTCTAAAACCTTCAAGTCAGTTTTGTTTTCTTAATAATTAAATAAGTTCTAAACACGTTGCCTTGTTTATTGTACAGAATTACTGTATGTCTTCACTTTTTTTTTTCTACTTTTAGGAAGTTAAATTCTCTAACAAAGTACTAGACACATGTTCTGTTGTTGGAAATGGAGGGATTTTGATCAACAGCAGCTGTGGAGAGGCCATAGACTCTGCCCAGTTCGTGTTCAGGTAAGAAATAATGAAAATGAATTATTATTAAATTTTGAAGACCATTTTGAAGTCCATTTTATAAATATATATTTACAAAACTACTGTACGGCAAAATCTGTGGATATATTATATATTCTGTCTTGAGCCACCAGAATCTATACTGCAGTTAACTCAATCCAGTGTACACTCATTCCCACTCATACTCAAAGTAAAAAGTTGTATTGTAAAATGTACTTAAGTATAGATACCAAAAAATGTACTTAAGTACTTTCACTTTGTATTTCATTACCTTCCACCACTGGAAGTTATGATGAAGTGTTAACATAAATCTGTATGCTGCAATGAACTCTTGCTGTATATTTAGATGTAATCTCCCTCCTCTGGATAAAGAATATAGGAAACACGTTGGAAGAAAGACCAACATTGTGACCGCAAACCCCACCATCATTCAGAAGAAGTGAGTTTTAACAGTGATTATTATATTACATTGTCAAGGTTATTCAGAAAATCAATAATTCAGGTCTCAAAATATATAAAAAGCAAAAATATCCTCCAAACAGGGGCGCATGGAGGATTTTTTGGCAAGGTACATGCAGCCAAGTGGGTGACAAATTCTCCACTCAGTCTGCACACTTACACCTGGCGTACCTGATGCACGGGGCACAGGGAGAGAGAGTTATTATTGCGGCACCCACTGGGCTGGTGTTTGGGTGACACCGGGACAGAGGGTACTCCATGTGTCTCACTGTACATGCACATGTAAAATGAGCCTGCAGGGGCGCTGTCTTGTCAGTGCATACTGGGATGGGAGGGGGAATAGAGACCCAGTGCTTGTCTAGGTTCAGTGCCTACCTATGTCAGAAATAGCAGGTGTTAATAGTGTTACAGCCTTGCTCTTAGAAAGCAGGTGAAGAGTTTGGTCAGTAATCACTGTCATGCTCCTCCTATAGTGAATAACATGCGCTGTGAACAGAACTGCCTCTCCACACATTATGTTAAGTTTATGATATAAGACAACTTTACATAGTTTTGTGATCTGGTCCACAAACTCTGAACTTTGCACATTGGGTCTCTGTCTCTGTCTCTATTCTCATTAAGAACTATGTTTTATCTGTCAGTCACCTGAGTCACCTGTCAGTCATGCCCATGACAGGATACATCTTTGTATTGTATAAAGGGAGGTTCCTAGGTTTGGCTAAGAAATTGAGTGTTGAGTGTTGGCAGCCCGAGCTGTGTTGGTACCAGGGAACGAGAAACACCCAACAGCTGCTGCTTGTCCTTTTTTGTCCTCTGCCTGGTCTAACTCTGAATGTCATTTAATTTCCTTTGTCCCATGGACCTGCTCTAGGCTCATGTTGAAACAATAATTCATGTTAATTAAACCCACATCCTGTTGAAGTTAAAATGATACATACCATTATGTAAATGAACTGTCTCTGTCAAGCAAACGAACAAACTTTATGGAAGATTCATTATGTTTGCACAAACTCAGCTGTCTCCTCCATCAGTATGCTCTGCACCCGGACCTGCCTGTGAGGCCTTTTCCTGTTTAAATATGTTTTGTTTAGTTTCTGGGTGTGTTTATGGCCTATTAATGTAATGAGTACACTACTGTGTGTACTTCACACTGTTAACAGGCTTGCTGTGAGTCACAGTTCATCTTTGGTTGTTCGGTGGTTCTGAGTTTGATCTTTGTCCTGACCATTTACCATCTTGTTGCAGTAGACACCCAGTATAACACAGGCAGTCGAATTATTCACCGCATGCAGTGTTGGGAATGTTAATTTTAAAATGTATTCCCCTACAGATTACAGATTACATACCCCAAAATGTAGTTTGTAATGTAATCCATTAAATTACTTAAAGTGAGTAATGTAATCTGGATACTTTGGATTACTTGGTTTGCTGAAGAGAAGCAAAGACTAGGATACTTAACCGTATTAAAAACATTATTGGTAGAAGAGGAGGAGACATGTCGCGCGCAGCATGGTTTAGTCCTGGTTTAGACCTGGTTTAGTTTTCAGCAATGAGTGGAATTACCGGAAAAAAAATAAAAATAAAAAGATAAAATTAAAATAATCTGAAAACAGGAAATTACCGCTGTGTAATCCATTTATTTCAACAAAGTAACTGTAATCCAATTACCAGTCACTGAAACAGTAACTGTAACTGAATACAGTTACTCATAATTTGTACTCTGATTACGTAACTCCAGTATATGTAATCTGTTACTCCCCAACACTGACCACATGATTATTATAAGCATTTTTCACATCTCTGAGGCCAGAGTTTAGTTTGCTGTTACTGTAATGCCAACAACTACTAGCATGCTAACAGCACAGCAGCCATACTTCTTGGTTTACGAATGACAAAATACTGCTCAGGTATATATACATATACGAAGCATCACTATAAATGATGAATTACTACTGTTTTATTATTATTATGTTTTATTGTTGCTGCAGAAGAATACTGATCCCAAAGGAAGTTCAAAGTATCTATATTTTATATAGTGAGCTGCAAATTTTACTTAACTACATGGAAAAAATCATGCACAGCCCCTGAAACATGCTCATGATTGTCTTTCAGATACAACAGTCTACAGCTTCGCCGTCGTCAGTTTGTGGATGATGTCAGTGTGTATGGCGACTCTCTGCTGTTTCTTCCTGCCTTTTCCTTTGCGTTCTGCACTGGTTTGAGCATGGCAGTCCACTACACTTTGGAGGACTTCAGGAGCTCAGTTAAACCTGTATTTTTTCACCCGGAGTACCTCAAAAGCCTGGATACATTCTGGCGTTCACAGAAGCTCAACCCTGGTTACAGAATAAGCACTGGGTTCATGTTGGTTAGTTTAGCTCTGGAAATCTGTAACAATGTGGACGTGTATGGGTTCTGGCCTTTTAAATATCACCCATACAATTTCCAGATTACAACAAATCACTATTATGATGACCAAAAGGCAACTACTTTGCATGCCATGCCAGCTGAATTTGCCTATCTGATAAAACTACACAATGAAGGGGTGCTTAAGCTTCATCTGGGAGAGTGCCCACCACAAAAAAAGGAATGAAGGTTTTATATTGATGTCCTCTATACTGTTAAAGCCAGAGTATGTAACTTTTTATCCAAAAAATAGATTTGTGTTTATTTCATTGAAAACATGAGTGAGTTTACATCTCCAGAAAATTGATTCTTACTTATTGGCTTATAGTGCAAAATTCTGGGCTGAGTAGAAATCATCTTGTTGGGCCATATTACATGTTCTGTATGGAAGATAAGTTGTTCCATCAGAATTTGAATTTTAAACGGCTCTGAATTTGTCTTTGTGAATTATTTTACTCTGAAAAAGAGCATCTGAATTTTTTTCTTCTGAATCTGAAGCACTGAAATTTCAGTGTATAGTTTTCAATGTGTTTAAAATTTCAATTTAAAAAAAATTAAAAATCATCTATAAAATATTGGATGTATTTTTTTCAAACCCTCAAATACGACTGTCTAAATTCGCATTGTAAAATACGATGAAGAAAAATGACCCAGCCAACATCCGGGATACTGAGGCATTTGCAATCACTCTTGCAGAGTCGATCTAACTTCTAGCCAATCACGCAACGGTATAGTAGTCACGGGAACAACCACAAGTCCACGGACGGAAATGGCAGCCGGTGGCCGCTCTTTCGGTAATTATGTTCATATTTTCTAACCTTTTTCGAAGCTAATACTTATAAAATCTTACAAATAACAATTGCTTGACAACATTAATGTAAATGCTTGTACTCGCATTATTGGCGATTTGATAGAAACAACATTAATAGCGCTAGTTAATGCACTGTCATGCGCGCTCACCATAGACCACATGGCCCGCGCAAGTCAACCTGTTGTAAGGAAAACAACCACTAGGGGGCGATAGCCGCTACGGCTAATATGAAATACTGTCAACAAACATGGCAGCGCCCTTCTTCAACGATTTGATAGCATTTTATGTAGTGAAATGGAAAGAAAATACAGTGTTCTATGTCACTTATAGTAGGCTAATAAATATATTTGGTAATTTTACAGGATAGTCAGGCTGAAATAGTGCAGTCAGCAAGGCGTTTATTACATTTGCTGACTTCATCTGAAAGACAGTCAAGTGCAGCAATTCAAGCCTCAAGCCTCAAGATAACGGGTAGTTCTTAGAAATGATATCTTTCTGAAATGTTCAAATATTCATTAAAAATATGACGCAGAGTTGATCGACAAGGAGGGATACGGGACCATGACCGTCACTTTGTACCAGCTACTCGGCCTACTCTTCAAACAGAAATGACAAGGTGTGAAATGCTAAATATGTCTTATCTTTATCTTTGGTTATTATAATAATAATTATTATTATGATGTTTACTATTGAAATCTGCTTATCACTCAGCATCTGAGCCCAGTCCATGACCTTGGGTGTTGAGAATTTATTTCATGTATTATTATTTTGTAATATTTAAAGGTTATAGAACCCATTAATTACTAATGATTAATGTCATAAGACCGCAGGTGTTTACAAAGGCTTTTATAATCTTTTAATTTATTTTGGTCTTAACTAAATGTATGTTTTGTTTCTTTTTTTCTTTTTCTTTCTCTATTAATTGTTTATTGAATGTTCTTGCGTTCTGTTTTTGTAGAAACTTTTCCAGGCCTTTTTACAAAAGGAAAAAGGGAAACGACGATTTCCTGCCCCAGCACTTATTCCGGCCAAAAAAGTGCAAGCCGCTGGAAGTGTCTTTTACCTCCTTCCAAAACATTGTGACAGGACACCCAGTGAACTTGAAAAAGTCACACATATGCAAGCAGGATTGGGCCCCAGGACTGCTCATCTAGATGAGAGCATCACCCATGAGGAGGTTAACTATGAAAAGACTCATGTGCACTCACTTCTTATTTTTGTTCTGAATGATGAATTTTGAATATTAAATATTGATTAATTAATGTACTTGCTCTTTCTGTTTACAGCTATGTGATGCCCTCAAAGCTTTTATATCCACGCACACTGTCTGGTGGATGGCTACTTTATAAATCTACAGGTACAAGTTTAATTGAATTGCTTGACAAGGTCTGAATGTTACTAAAAGTATACTGCCCAGTCATTAAGTATATACACTATTTACTTCATATATAATAATCTAAAATGTATGCAATATAAGTATAAAAGTATTGTGTGTTTCTACAGGTGGATGGGGTAGCCGTAAGCTCGCCCTTGTGTCACCCGATGCTGGGTATACAGGCAGATTGTTGAAATCTGCTGCACAAGGGGGTAAAAAACTGTTCATAGTCTCACTTCAGGAGGACCTTGATACAAGTCCACTGGAACTAACTGATGAAGCATTCAAGGGCATGGCAAAGGCCATGTGCCAGAAGTGTGGAGTAGATGTTCCTCTGCAGCTTCTTAAGGATCACGTCAACTCATGCTCAGTCATTGAAATTGATGGTGAACAGCCTGTTTGAGGATACAAGTCATCTTGTTGGGGAAAAATGTAGGTTTGTCTTTACAACTGGAACAAGTCTTAAAGCATAAAGAATTTGATGATGAACGACACTTTTGCCTATTATAATTTTGATTTAAGTGCAACTCCTATCTTTTGTCTTTTCCACTGTTAATAGCTGTGTCATGTCCAGTTTGCTTAAAAATGTTTCCTACTGACTGGATACAGGAACATGCATCCACATGTGGAGAAAGGTATTGATGATCTTTTTAGTAAATTGATCCATTATTGTATTGAATGTGATGATGTTTAGTTGCCTTATTTTCAGTCAGTGACACCTGCAGTCACATCTGCCACAGTGACATCTGCAAAGTGACCTATGAGGGGACCATGCAGCCATGCTGGAACCTCCACATCATCTGCTACTGTTACTGGGGTAGTAGTACCACAAATTTTGTCATGCTGTGAATACGTTTTCATTTGAGTGTTTTAATGTCTTATTTGGTAATTGTTGTACATTTATAATCAAATCAAATGTACACTATATCGAAATCAAGGTATTGCATGTTTTATGCTTTCCTTCTAGACTGTTATCTTTGAGTGACCAAGGGAGGCCATATCTCAATATGCAAAACATTTCTCTCCAAACCATGCAATGGACACCCATTAATTCTCAGCATGGACATTAGAAAAAGTCTTACAGAGCAAGGACATGGCCCTATCTCCTTTTATAAGCAAAAAATGGGATGGGCCCGTCACTGAATGCAGACTGAAGGTAAACCTAAAAAGTTAAAGGTTCTTAGAAATGAGTTGAGTATTTATTTATTTTTTTGTTATAGGGGACACAGCTGTAGGACATGGTGTTGCGCGCTTTTTCTTTTCCACGTGCATGGAAAAACTGAAGTCAGGTTTCACAATACATTTTGGTATGTTCAGTTTATCCATTTGGCACCATGCACACATATTCCCATATGGATAAGAATATGAAATATGGATATGGAACAGAGACTACTAATAAAAGCTTTTGATTTGTTGTGTCCCATTGTTTGTTTTCCATAGCAAACTGCAGTGTTACTTGACTTTTTGAAGGGGAGCCAAGTCATCTTGTCCCATCAGTTCACACTTCTGGTTGAAAGCGACCTCTTCCTCATGGCGGGGAGGATGATGGGTCACTCCTTCCTCCACGGAGGACCTTGTCTGTCTGGCCTCAGCCCTGCTATTGTTCATGTTTCCTTGGAGGCACTCCTGAAACGTGTACAGTCACCCTGGAGGACTGCCTGACTTGGAATCCGTGACACCATCAGGCTTGTATGTTACTCCATCTTTTCACTATTCACCATAACCCAGTTTTTTTTGATGAACTCGATAATGTTTTAATCTGAAACCAGTTGTGGATTAAAGAATACAGCTTAGTTAAAGTTTATGTTCTGATCTGGTACATCTCTTCAATCATTGGAAGGTGAGTCAAACTCTCTGAGAAGGATAAAGTAGAGATACAGGATTTGGCTTTTGCCTTGGGACCTTCCTCCCCTGACTGAGGGAACCGAAATGGCTTTTTTGAAAAAACTTTTAATTCATGCTGTAAAGTATTTCTGGTCAAGTAGTAGCTTTTGGATTTATTGAAAATTCTATGAACACATGTACATTCCCCCATTCTCTCTCGAAGGTGATGGGCGAGTAATAAGACAGATTAAGCACTCCGCCGGGGACTAAGAAACACCAATATGGACCATACTCACCCAGAGACCAGACACAGAGATTTGCTCCTCCCCNTAAGTTTATGATATAAGACAACTTTACATAGTTTTGTGATCTGGTCCACAAACTCTGAACTTTGCACATTGGGTCTCTGTCTCTGTCTCTATTCTCATTAAGAACTATGTTTTATCTGTCAGTCACCTGAGTCACCTGTCAGTCATGCCCATGACAGGATACATCTTTGTATTGTATAAAGGGAGGTTCCTAGGTTTGGCTAAGAAATTGAGTGTTGAGTGTTGGCAGCCCGAGCTGTGTTGGTACCAGGGAACGAGAAACACCCAACAGCTGCTGCTTGTCCTTTTTTGTCCTCTGCCTGGTCTAACTCTGAATGTCATTTAGTTTCCTTTGTCCCATGGACCTGCTCTAGGCTCATGTTGAAACAATAATTCATGTTAATTAAACCCAAATCCTGTTGAAGTTAAAATGATACATACCATTATGTAAATGAACTGTCTCTGTCAAGCAAACGAACAAACTTTATGGAAGATTCATTATGTTTGCACAAACTCAGCTGTCTCCTCCATCAGTATGCTCTGCACCCGGACCTGCCTGTGAGGCCTTTTCCTGTTTAAATATGTTTTGTTTAGTTTCTGGGTGTGTTTATGGCCTATTAATGTAATGAGTACACTACTGTGTGTACTTCACACTGTTAACAGGCTTGCTGTGAGTCACAGTTCATCTTTGGTTGTTCGGTGGTTCTGAGTTTGATCTTTGTCCTGACCATTTACCATCTTGTTGCAGTAGACACCCAGTATAACACAGGCAGTCGAATTATTCACCGCATGCAGTGTTGGGAATGTTACTTTTAAAATGTATTCCCCTACAGATTACAGATTACATACCCCAAAATGTAGTTTGTAACGTAATCCATTAAATTACTTAAAATGAGTAATGTAATCTGGATACTTTGGATTACTTGGTTTGCTGAAGAGAAGCAAAGACTAGGATACTTAACCGTATTAAAAACATTATTGGTAGAAGAGGAGGAGACATGTCCGCGCAGCATGGTTTAGTCCTGTTAAATCCTGTTAAATCCTGTTTTAGTCCTGGTTTAGACCTGGTTTAGTTTCCAGCAATGAGTGGAATTACCGGAAAAAAATAAATAAATAGAAAGATAAAATTAAAATAATCTGAAAACAGGAAATTACCGCTGTGTAATCCATTTATTTCAACAAAGTAACTGTAATCCAATTACCATTCACTGAAACAGTAACTGTAACTGAATACAGTTACTCATAATTTGTACTCTGATTACGTAACTCCAGTATATGTAATCTGTTACTCCCCAACACTGACCACATGATTATTATAAGCATTTTTCACATCTCTGAGGCCAGAGTTTAGTTTGCTGTTACTGTAATGCCAACAACTACTAGCATGCTAACAGCACAGCAGCCATACTTCTTGGTTTGCGAATGACAAAATACTGCTCAGGTATATATACATATACGAAGCATCACTATAAATGATGAATTACTACTGTTTTATTATTATTATGTTTTATTGTTGCTGCAGAAGAATACTGATCCCAAAGGAAGTTCAAAGTATCTATATTTTATATAGTGAGCTGCAAATTTTACTTAACTACATGGAAAAAATCATGCACAGCCCCTGAAACATGCTCATGATTGTCTTTCAGATACAACAGTCTACAGCTTCGCCGTCGTCAGTTTGTGGATGATGTCAGTGTGTATGGCGACTCTCTGCTGTTTCTTCCTGCCTTTTCCTTTGCGTTCTGCACTGGTTTGAGCATGGCAGTCCACTACACTTTGGAGGACTTCAGGAGCTCAGTTAAACCTGTATTTTATCACCCGGAGTACCTCAAAAGCCTGGATACATTCTGGCGTTCACAGAAGCTCAACCCTGGTTACAGAATAAGCACTGGGTTCATGATGGTTAGTTTAGCTCTGGAAATCTGTAACAATGTGGACGTGTATGGGTTCTGGCCTTTTAAATATCACCCATACAATTTCCAGATTACAACAAATCACTATTATGATGACAAAAAGGCAACTATTTTTCATGCCATGCCAGCCGAATTTGCCTATCTGATAAAACTACACAATGAAGGGGTGCTTAAGCTTCATCTGGGAGAGTGCCCACCACAAAAAAAGGAATGAAGGTTTTATATTGGTGTCCTCTATACTGTTAAAGCCAGAGTATGTAACTTTTTATCCAAAAAATAGATTTGTGTTTATTTCATTGAAAACATGAGTGAGTTTACATCTCCAGAAAATGGATTCTTATTTGTTGGCTTATAGTGCAAAATTCTGGGCTGAGTAGAAATCATCTTGTTGGGCCATATTACATGTTCTGTATATGAAAACTGCATAACAAATTTAGTGAAGGCCCCCCTCCCCCCTTGCGATGCCCAAGCTTATTTGGCCATATCTATCTCCATGAAGAATGTTCCAAAATATAGTTTTAACTTTTCTATGGAATCTTTCAGAAAGTTACAGCCTGTGCCTTTAAATGAAGGACAAGTGACAGAACAGAAAAGCCATGTATTCAACCAGTCAAAAGTTTGGACCCTCTTAGTCAGTGTTTTTATTAATATGTTTACAATTTTACTGTTTACTACTTTCTACATTTGATATACATGCAGAAGCCATCAGCTATATGAAGCAAGATGTATGGAATTATGTGGCAAAAAATAAAAAGTTAAACCACATTAGGCAAGGCAAGGCAAGGCAAGTTTATTTGTATAGCACAATTCGTACACAAAGTAATTCAAAGTGCTTTACAGAATAAGAAATACATTAAAATCATAATAAAAACAAATCAAAACATAAATAATCATGAAGATTAAAATTAAAAAAGAGAGACATAAATTGGAGAGAAGAGTGCGGAATGAAAACCTTTCAGTTATATGCACAGTTAAACAGAAATGTTTTGAGTCTGGATTTAAACAGCGTCACAGAAGAGGCCTGTCTCACATGTTCAGGAAGACTGTTCCACATTACTGGGTACACACAGACACACAGACACAATACAATACAGCAAAAGCATAGTCTGTATACAACTAAAAGGACAAAGATTGTCAAAACTA